ACATTTAACTTGGCTAATGCACGAGATCCCATGACCTTTGGTTGCATGATCAAACGTTTCGAAGGGGGGAGGGGCAGAGAGGGAAATTGCAGAAGAGGGAACTGAATTAAGTGAACAGATAAATAAATAATACATTTATCAATCCCCATTCATTCATTCATTCATTTACTTATTTATTATTTATTTATACATCGTGGAAGTTTCCATAACTCTCACATGCAGAAGTTTGTTCTGTACCACTTGCTTGAATTTGTGGCGTCAACTGTTCAATTTTGACTAGTCGTTGAACAATAGACTCGATCGATGGCTACTGACGACTCGACGGCGACTGCTATGCAAACTGACACAAACTCTAGAGACTGGGCTGGCAGGTGGACCCACATAAACAAAATTCTTGATCGTCGGGGACCTTTCTGCGATGGCAGTTTTCGTGGAGGATATGAGGTATATTAATGTTTTCGCGCTGACACGTTTCGCTCGATCTTGCCACCATACCATTACTTTTATCAATCCTATTCAACCCCCACTTGTTTAATTCATCGATCTACACTCCTGTGATTATATTTGTCTGCTGCGTGGAGCACACTTAGAATACGCTGCTGCCCAAATGCAAAGTCCTCGTTATCGGAGCGGGTGGTCTAGGCTGCGAGATATTAAAAAACTTGGCGCTTTCGGGTTTCAAAGACATTCATGTGATCGACATGGACACAATCGATGTCTCCAATTTGAATAGACAATTCTTGTTCAGGTGAGATTTGAATTTTCTAATGTGTTCTCTCTACTCGACCTTGTATCATTTTGTTTGCTGAAATCTATTACTGTCTTTCATAGACCTTCAGACGTTGGTAGACCAAAGGCCCTCGTCGCTGCTGAATTTGTAAAGAACCGAGTAGCAGGCGTGGTTGTTACTCCGTTGGTATTTTTTTACATCCTTGTTGTGAGTCCATTCGTGAACGCGATTCAATCTTGTTAACTGTTCTCTTGTCAATTGTGAATTCAGTTACCATGGCAAAATCCAAGATAAAGATGATGATTATTATAAGCAGTTTCAAATAGTTATTTGTGGGTTGGACTCGGTCGAAGCTCGTCGCTGGATGAATGCTACGATCGTCAATCTATCACAAGAATTGGGTGAAGCCATTCCGATAATTGATGGAGGAACGGAAGGATTCAAGGGTCAAGCACGCGTGATAATTCCAACTGTGACGTCATGTTACGAGTGCTCCCTGGATATGCTCAACAAACCAACCACGTTCCCCATCTGTACTATTGCCAATACTCCCAGATTGCCTGAGCATTGTATCGAATGGGCGTATGTTCTCGAATGGCCGAAAGTATTCAAAAGTACATGGAATATATATCTCTCTCAAAATCAAGCAATGTTTTGTCGGCGACAAGTTCTTACAAACTATAATTTTTTTCAACAAATCAGACGAGAAACTGGATACCGACGATCCAAAACACATTCAATGGGTATTTGAAACAGCGTCGGAACGAGCGAGGCAGTTTAAAATCGCGGGAGTCACGTATTCACTCACCCAGGGAGTTGTAAAGAATATCATTCCGGCTATCGCTTCAACAAATGCTATCATTGCGGGTATGCATATTACCCATTGTTTCCACTTTCGTATTCCTATATGTTGACAGCCTTGTTAACATCCTTGTCATCCCGTCTTCTCCCTTTGCCACAGCTGCCTGCTGCAATGAAGCGTTCAAGATCGCCACAACGTCCGCTCCTTATCTTGACAATTACATGATGTACACTGGCAACGAAGGCGTGTATACTTACACTTTCCAGCATCAGAAGAAGCCAGATTGTCCAGTGTGTGGGGAAAACTCTGTCAGCGTTGATGTAAACAAGGACTGGACCGTGGAAGAATTTATCGAGTGGCTAAAAGAGAAACCAGATGCGTAAGTTGATCGCATAACAACTTTCTAATTGTAAATGCTAATGTGATCTTTAATCAACATGTTTTATTTTACTAGTCAATTGAAGAAGCCAAGTCTAATGACCGCAGAGAATAAGAAGATATATCTTCAAGCTCCCCCTATTCTGGAGAGATCAACAAGACCAAATCTAGAAAAGAAACTTAGCAGTCTAATCGAAGATGGCGCTACGATCATTGTCACCGATTCGACATTGCCGTTCTCATTACAGCTCGTAGTATCATTAATATAACTATACAAAAACGTTAATACAGTATTACAACTACGACCATGTCATAAAAAACCTAATTATAAAAAAATTCTTAACAGTGTGTACATATGTTGCGACTCGAATTATCTGTTCTACTGGTAATTAATGTAAATCTCCGTACAATAGGCCGCATATTACGTTATTCGGATTTGTCTTTTGCAGCCTCGGTAATCTCTTTACCCGGAACGAATGTAGTAAAAACTGAAAAAACAAACAACATGGCTACAGCCCCGGCAATATAGCACAATTGACTACCGACCATCCAATACAAACTACACGCTGCGATTGGTCCAACTGCTCTTCCAAGCTGCCCTAGCGAGCGAAATTCACCCAATGCTTGCCCTTTCTCGACCAACTCGTCACATTGCATACTAGCCAAAGACGTCAAGCAATTCACGACTGTAGCGCTGGTAAACGCTAAAAATGCAGCCCCAATATACAACCAAATTATCCCGTTATCTCCTAGAGTCATGCTACCAATAACACCCAATCCAATTGCACACCCAGAAATTCCCTGCACGACTATTCTCTTTTCTCCAATCGCATGAGCTTTACGACGAACATAACCACCCTGAATGATAGCCGATAATATGCCTATAAACCCAAGAAGTATCCCATTCTCCATGTTGGAAAAATCAAACAGATCGAACGTCAAGAATGTCAAAGTAAACTCCATTCCAGAGAATATAAACAAGTACAAGAAATGAATCAGCTTTAGCAGACGAAGAGTTTTCAATTGTTGCGTACGCTCCCGATCCATTTGCTGTAGCAAAGCAACAGCTTCGTACGCGCTTTTCCTAGTACTCGTCGAATCTTTTGTACTATTGCCGTCATCTGAAGCAGTCTTTTCTTCCCGCAAATTCGCAGTCTCGGGCAGAAACGCATGAAGGTATAGCGTTTCGACCGTGAGCAATACTAGAGCAACAAATGCTGGGGCGGAATATTGGTTCAGTCCCCATTCAACTAAACTGGGAAACGTCTTGGCAAGATTCTTTGATGCAAAATATGCCCCGACTGCGGGTCCGATCGTAAAAGAAACAGCAAATGCAATGCCCACCAGAGCCTTAATTTTGACGTGGAGTAAAAAATCATAGTGGTCGGCATAGTTTGGGAAAGAGAATGTGAAAAAATACCGGTGATGTAACGCGATAAAACACTAACCAGCCCTTTTGATCTTGATTCCTGTGTCGTCACATCGGATACTATCGCAATTGACAGCTGTACGTTGCCTTCACTCAAACCACCGACTATCCTCGAGCATACAAACCATCCAAAAGACTTGGCAAATACCCAAAGACATGTCGACAGTATGTTTCCTATCTGGTGTTAACATAAAACTGAGTACAAGGACAATCATTATTCACTTCATTCCTCTATTATCCCAACACAACCCACCATTGTAACTAATAGTGTAGCTCGCCTGCCATATTTATCGGAGAATGCTCCAATTACGGGTGAAGCAACGAATTGCAGTAGCGAGTAGAGAGAACCCAGTGCGCCACCCAGCAATACAATGTCCCATTTCGGATTATTGCCTGCAGTTCCCCCGATGATAGTTCTAAAAAGTCTGATCTGTCTAAGACACCACGACAGTAACGTTGACTACACGGATAGAAAGGCCCGAGTCAGAAAGTTCACTCTTTATAGATTACTTGTAGACATCCTTAAATTACTATTGCGTCTACCTCGTCGCCTTCTTCTCGGGCTTTATACTCTTCTAAAAGTCGTGGAAATAAGGGTAATATTATAGTGAACGCTAGAATGTCCAGCAATAACGCAATGAACACTACTTTCACTGTTTTACTCGTGTAATTAGACACGGACTTTGTGGAAGAATTATTCATGAGTTATTCAAATAAGATTAGTTTTTTTCCCAGGAATCTGAAGAAAGATCTGACGATTGTAGCACACAAAACTTTACCAACGTTTAAAAATGACGTATTTTGTGCAATTTCCCCATAAGTCGAATTAAAAACGGGCAGGATTTACTTCTACCAATGTAGGGCATAATTCTTGCATATTCAGCTAAACCCTTTTTAAGAAAACATCACAATCAATTGCCGATAATTTATTTATGCTTAAACAATTCTAGGTCAGTTTAAATGGTCTAGTAGTGTTATGGTTCATTAATACTAGAGGTACAGTATCTTTAACCGCGTTTCGCAAGTTGGAAGTAATTTACTTACTTTATAAACAACGGCAACTTTAAGCAGGCACGTGTTCAGTTTCAAGTTGAAAAATAACTTCTATTTTATGGTATGTGACAACATCTCAATTCACACTCTATAAAGAATAATTAACAGATAATACACAATACTAAACAGCCATAATATATACTACCCACACGTAATAAACTACACGATCTAAGCATATAATAAATCACATTGGATACCCAAACAATTCTGCTAATTTCAGAAGCTTCTGCTTGTGTTCATCTGTAAATAAACAAAATGTTAAAGACAGGAACAAAGTGCATCCGCAAACCAAAGATTCAATTAGGATTGATTGATTTTTCATACCTTCAGGTGGAGGACTTACAGATTCTGCTCGCCCAGCAGATGCCGGAACTATACAAACGTGAAAAAATTACACACTAGCTTTTGACAATTGTATGCAACATTAAGACAGTACTTACAAACATTCCTAGCTTCTGCAATCATGCTAGCTCTCTGTTTCTCTTCCTCCTCCGTGGCAATATTAGACAATCCACGTCGTATATAACTCTGAAAATAGAAGCTGGTTGTTTCTAATTGTGCTGATATTTTACTTTCCATTTCAGGGTGCTCTTTCTGGAATTCATACAGTTCTTGAATACCCTATTATGGCAGAAGTAATTAATCATCTCAGTTACTCAAGTGTGCAATAATAAATACTCCCTTCACTGACCTTCCTAGACTCTCGCGGTGTTCCGATCTTCTGGAAAATACGGGTTAGTTGAGAGTTCACTTCCAATTCATGAGACCCTGACGTGCGGATGCTCCCTGCCAGCGTTGGGAAGCGGGGTGACATTGGCGTCCGTGGCGAAGTCGGACTCATAGATTCAGAGCCATTGAAAGGCGTTTCGCGTGTGGGCATTTCTCGTGGTGGAGGTTCCCTCGCTGTTGATTCCTGAATGTCTTGTTCCATCGCCGGAGAGCCACGCGCAGAATCATTATCCGGATAACTAGAATCTGATCCGATCGAGGTAATCGATCGTATGGATGAAATAGACGTACCTCGACTCTGTATTATAAAAAGTTTGATGTAAGATAAACGATACGTTCTTATGTAATACAAATATATTGAAAGACCATACATGTGAAGGCTGATGTTGCTGAGAAATATGTTGAGAAAAGTGTTGCTGAGAGGCATGTTGAGAGTAGTTTGGTTGAGGAACTTGCTGACCAGCTTTCTTCCTATAAGCATCAAGCATATGATGCAGATAAGGATAGACATAGCTTCTTTGTGGATCTTCTATAAGATCCAAATGATCATAAACACCATCACCCAGTCCTGTTACCAATTCCAGTAACAATGTCTTCACAGTACGAAGGGGCATCTCGCCCAGAGGAACTTTCTCAGTAGCTCTTCGTTTCCATTCTGCGGGTGGAGTTACCAAGAAGAAATTGTTTAGGTCACGAAGTAACATGTTGGGTTTGAGAACCCCGGCCTTCAAATTCTCCTGTACGCTCTTCGCCAATTTCCACAGACATTTCATTATTAATTCGGTAAATTTTACTTGAGCACTAGATGCAGAATCTTCTACTTCACGTAGATTGGCAGATGATGTTTCAAGTATCGAAATCAATGCGCTGGAACGAGTTCAAAGGGAGAGGGGAAAGGGAAAGCAATTGTTCAAGTTGAATGCCATATCGACGTCCAACGGCTTCTGTTTATATAATACAAAAAATATATACTTGCCTATACGTTGCATTTCTGTCGCTATTCTCAAGTACTTTGACCATTGCTACATTTAGGGCTTTCGATAATTGTTGTCCACATTCCAGAACCTGTAGATTTGGATCTAATAGCCGATGCGCTAGTTCTTGCAAAAGCCTTGTCAAATATTCTTGAGAGACTGATAACGCAAGTTCCTTGTTCGAAAACAACAGAACCAATGCATTGACTAAGTGTTTGCATAATCTGATGAGAGTATGTGCTTGTGGTTCAAGTTTTGTATAAGAAAAGCGAATTTGAAGAGCGAGAGCATTAACCAGCTCATCAACATGTCCAGCAACTTTTGCAGAAGAATTGTTCAATTCTTTGTCAAAGTCCTTTAACGCTTCGATACTTTGCTGAGGATCAGCATTTAATATTCTATTAATAATATAGTCCATTCTAATCTCGGGGGATCTTTCGGAAGTCGCCACACGATTTTTGTTAGAAAATGGTCCGGGAATACTACTCCTCGACGGAGCTTCCATAGCGGTTGGTGCAATATGATCTGGTTGATCAATGTCCATAGGCACAACATCTTTATTAGACCCGGCTTCACTAGCAGGAGCAGGATTCGATTGTCCATTTAAAGCATTGCCAGGCTTCCGTAGACGCGAGAACTGTAGACGGCTTGGCGGAGGCAAACCTCGCCCGATGCCGGATGGTGGTTGCAATCCTCTTGGAGCACTTGGCAAGTTACTTCCATGACCGAATGTTGGCAAACCTGATGTAGATGGCGGCTCATGTTCCGCGGCTTCTCCGTTTCCGTTAGGAATAGCAGATGTATTGGATCCTCCAGCAGGAGCCCCTCTACCCAAGCC